CAATGCTCATTGTCAGTAAACATGCAAGGGGCACTATCCAAGGATGAGGTAGTTGAAGACGAGGCACGGGCGGGGTCGACGGTTGCCCCAGAAACCCCAGAAAAAAAGCCTAAATCCTACAAGGAGGGCCACGCCTATTAAAATTGTATGATAAAAATGATGAAACGAGAGAGGGGAGTGATGTTGTTGCTGTTCTATTTTTTGTCTGAGAAATGGGAAAATCGTTTTTAGACAGTTCGAATATTTTTTTGATGACAAATATTTTTTGCAATATATTTTGCAAAATTTATTTTTATGAAATGGATGAGGCGAGGAGATTGAGGAAATGATATTTTGAGAGGTATATGATGAAATGAATGAGGCAAGGAGGAAGGAGAAAAGGATAGCGGAAATTTTGGAAAAATGATGAGAAAAAAATGGATGAGATGGACAGAAAGGAATGTAGAAAAATGATGAAAACAAATAAGGGTAGAAGATGGAAGATGGAAAAAGTTGTAGGGTGGGGGGTATGTATGAAAGCAATTTATTGCTAGGCGTGGCCCTCAACTACTATTTCGCCGGCATCCCAAAGCTCCAGCGGATTTGGGGAAAAGGGGCACTGCGTGTTCTGTTGATGTTCAAACCCCTTCCAAAGAAAGGAAACTCGAGCACCACAGGTCAACCAACACCTTGATTTTTGGAGGGCTTCCCCTCCAAAAGAAAGTCAAAAACGGATCGCGGCTGACCCTCCGCTTTGAGCTGCGAAGCGGGACCGAATCCCCGCGCGGGGAATTTCGCACTGGCTTCACTGAGCGCAGCACCCACGAGGTACACCAGCCCCCCGGTCTGCTCAATAATGTCCACTGCAACCTGCAGCTGGTTACACCAGTGAACTTGATTCATGCGCACACCTGAGTCGTAATCAAAACCCGGTATTAAAATGGTCGTAATCCCAGAACCATGCTTCAAGAATTAAGAAGGCGGCCGCAGCTATTTGTGGTTTGTCCCTTACCAACCTTCATCTACCCGGGTTTTTATTGTGGCTCACCTGAAATAGCCGGGGCCTTCAAATGACCTTCGCCAAGACGGCCCTCCGCGCCTCAATGAACACGGCGTCTCTCTGGGCGTAGGTGGGGCTCAGTTCCACCTGGACATGGGCCCAGTCCAAAAGGAAAAAACCAATGAGGCCTGATGTGAGGGGTGCCACTTCTGAGCGCTCAATCCCTCTAACTCACTCACGCACGCACGCACGCACCCACCCACCCACCCACCCTCCCTCCCTCCCTCGCTCACTCACTCACTCCCCTGGCTCACCTCACCTCAGCCTCACCGAACCTCACCGTATGCACGCACTGACACTGGTTCCCTAGTTGGGTGCTTTCTGCTTGAGGGCCTTTTTTGGGGTGGTTTTACTACAAGCCTAAAAAGCTAAGGAACCGGATGACCTTTTGGGCCAGCAAGCTACCCAGGTCTTGAGCACGTGGCTCAAAGAGTCCAGAGAAAAATCGGGCGCCTTTTGGGCAGAGCTCTCGGCTCGCTCGCCCTCCGGGCCTCATAGACTTCGAGGCCGCAGCCGCGCTCGAAGTCCTTTCGCAACTCTTTCGACGGAGTCTCGCGACGGAGTCCCGCGAACTCGCGACTGAGGGGGACCCCGGAAAAAAGGGCGACGGAACCGAACGGAACGTGCCCCCCCCTCCCTGGACCACACGCGACTCATTGAAGAATGGCAGCCACATTGAGATGATGAAGCTTCAAGCGAAACGATGGTATTGGCCCAACAGAGGTGTGGTGGGAATCCCAGGGCCTTGGTTTCTCTTAAAGCCTCGGAAGATAAACCACTGAGTAGCACACACACACACACAATGGGGAATTTCCGAAGAAAAGAAAAAACACCGGTCTTTGGTCTCTGCAAAAAGCCAACTTGATGGAGAGCTGGGAAACCACAAATCTTGAACATGGTTTGGATGTGGCTTTTGTGGATCCACCGCTGTAGGACATTCAAGCAGCACTAACATGATACTAAAAAAGGGGCCAACGGGGAGAAGAGCTGGTGAAATCCACGAAAAGATATAAAAAGCGCATCCAAGCCGTGTTCTAGAGCAAAGAAGCAGAGAAATTAGTTCATTAAAGTCACAGGGAGCCAAGCAAAATAGGGGAAGGGAAGAAGTGACCTTGGGAAAGGAAGTGAGTCATAATAACCTGGTATTCAAATAGTTTACCAAGAAACACATGGACAGAATCAAGAAGAGGAATATCCACACCCATGTATCGTTGGGATTGCCACTAACCTTCATCTTTTCAGAGGAAGGGAAGGGAAGGGATGGGAAGGGAAGGGATGGGAAGGGAAGGGAAGGGATGGGAAGGGAAGGGAAGGGATGGGAAGGGAAGGGAAGGGATGGGAAGGGAAGGGAGGGGAGGGGAGAAAAGGGAGGGGAGGGAAGCGAATGGAACGGAAGGGAAGAACTGACAAGACGCTTACCCTTTCTCAACAAGGGCTTTGCAAATGAACCAATGGATCCCCAAGGACATGGGAAACGTCGGTAACGGGTGTTTTTCCTTTACTAGGGCTGGTTTTTTCTAGGGCTGGTTTTCCGCAGCTGGCAACATCCCGCATCACTTGGCCCTGGGGTTGCCTAGTGGCTATGGTTTAAGCTAGGGGCGTTTTGGCTGGCCTAGATCTTCATGAGGGCGGGTCTTGCGGTGGTTTGGAGTTGATTTAGGGAAGCGAAGGGCTGACATCCAGGCTGCTGTTGGGCGGATTTAGGGTTGACTTTGAGTTTGGGTTGGTTTGAAGCTGATTTGCGTTTAGGTGTGCTGCTGGTTTAGCAGCGGCTGTCGGGTTGCTTTAGGATGTGGTTAAGTGAGTTTTGGTCTCGTTTCGGATCGGTTTTGGGGCGTTGCCCCAAACCACCAAAACTCGCCCACAACTCACTTAACCACATCCTAAAGCAACCCGACAGCCGCTGCTAAACCAGCAGCACACCTAAACGCAAATCAGCTCCAAACCAACCCAAACCCACTCAAAGTCAACCCTAAACCGGCCCAACAGCAGCCTGGATGTCAGCCCTTCGCTTCGCCTAAACCGCCCGCATGAATCTAGGCCAGCCCGAAACCCCCCTAACTCAAATCAGACCCCAGCAACTCCCAACTGCCAAAATCAGAGCCAATAGGCGGCCCCCAGGCCAGTGAGGCGGGTGATGCCGAGGATGTGGCCAACCAACCAAACCAACCAACCGACCAACCAACCAACCAACCAACCAACCAGCGGACCAGCCCTAGTATATTAAAAAAAAAAAAAAAAACTAGGGAAAAAACACCGGATCCATGGGAAACCTCTGGCGGCAAAAAAGACTGCCACTGCAAAAAGGAAAGACATCTACTTGGTCCAACTCCGACACGAAACATGCTTTTCAGACTATGTTCCATATTTAGTCAACCTCAAACTTTCACATGTCTATAAAATCATGTTGGAGGAGTTTTTACCAGTCCTGGCCATTCCCCTTTGAATTAAAAGAAAGGCCACACAAAATATGGCATTGCCTCCTCCTGACATGGAATCCTGTGAAAGGAGGCTGGAAGACCATTGTCCTTTTAGGATGGAAATCCCCACCCTGAACGTCCAACCACTCCCAAATAAATAAATTGAAGAAAAACAACAGTGCATACACAAGCCCCTCATTTTCCCCGCCAATTCACGCCATAGTGGGCGTATATCCCACAAAACTGGCCACCATCTTACTCAAGGCATCCAATGGGTGAGGGCACCAGCCGTAGCCATCAATCCAAAAGGATTTGAGCAATGGGAAGCCAATTGGCAAGATCGGCTTTCTCAAGGAAAAGACAGCCCTCTTTTAACTGTGAAAACATGTATGTGTCAAAATAGGTAGCCCAAAACTTGCGCATCTCCTTATACCTCTTTAAGCCGAGGTCAACAGGTGACATCAGAAATACCCACTCCCAGACCAGTGGCCATGCGCAAAAAACACAAACATGCTCTTCTTTCTTGGGAGTTGATTTTTTAGTCTAATTCCCCTTTGATGACCCTCCACACGGCGATTGGAACGGGGTCCCATGTTTCCCACCTCCCCGTTTGGAGACCCAACTTGGACCCAAGGGCTAGCCGAAAAGGGAACCTCAGGAACGCCCTCGAAATCAAGCCCCTCATTGTGCATGCGTCTGCATGACACAAACATATGGCCAGTGATAGGCTCCTTTAAGACCTGGGTTATTAAAAAAACAAAAAACAAAAAACTTAAGCAACTGGAAGAGACCATTTGCAAATTAAAGCTCTGTCCGTGTTTTTTCTTCATCTGATGTTTAAATCACCCAAGGAAATGGCCCGCCGGCGTCGCCGAAAATTGGGGACAAGCATGGCTGTGGCCGTTTGGAAACCAAAACGCATCCCCAAATTGAGGACACACACACGTCCAAGCCACTTCTGCTCACAAGATGATTGAACCAGCTACATCCAACTGCAGAACTCTGGCAGTAGATGCTTCCTGTTACCCCCACCTCCAACTTGCAATATCTACGGCACCCACCGTGCGCCTACACCCTTTCTCCTCCCTCGGACACTTCGACACTTCGCGTGCCAGCGGTCGACTCGGTCGACTTGGACGAAAAAGCTGGGAGCAACCTCTTAGAGAGGTAGCTCGCACAGAAATTGTGTCACGCGCAGTCGTTGAGCCATCGTCTATACCGGGTTTAAACCGTCAAACAGACTCGGCCAAAGAGCCTGACCAATCGGCAGATGCACTTGTGGCGAATATGGATTGCACCATCAGGAAGCGTTTGCTTCCAGTTCCAGTTTCAGGCACAATCCAAATCTCCGAAACTGGGATATCTTTGCAGGTTTGCTCCTAAGACTCTATAGACAGGTGGCGCCTTGGAAAAGGGGAAGGCAAAGGAAAACATTGACCAATTGTCCACCATTTCTAGGGGGAGTTTCCCCATTCTTTCCAAGGATCCTTCTTTCTAGAAAACCACCAAAAACTGTGGGGACATACGATGGCTTAAAAGAATGGGGAATCAACCCGTAGAACCATTGCGAGTCCATCTATATAGAGGCTAGGAGCAACCCTTCAGCCTTCAGAGTGTTCGTATCTCCTAGGTTGGTCTTAGATCCCCTGCAAAAAAAACTCAATTGTTTGCCGTTGCAAACTCAAGATGGGAACATGTAAAACTAGGAGTACAAACCAAATCCGGAAAAACACGACAAAGATGTGCCAAAACCATTGCGGAAAAATATGGAAATCGTCCAGACAAATGAGAAAATCGACCAAAATGGCACAAATGGGCAACAATCGACCGCGATTGAAAATGTAACTACCTCTTCGAACCATCCCTACCCAGATTAGCGCCGTAGTCTTCTCGTAGTTTTTTTCTAGTCGGCACTGCGCGGCACAGATCCGATAGGTATGTACGTTGCTGACGACGCACAAGCGCGGTGCTGAACTTCATATCTGATCGTTGTTGCAAGAGCCAAGCAGGCAGCACCTTTGCAAGCAAACCCGCTACAAGAAGCTGATCCGCAAGACGCAGTTCCGTGCAACCTGCGCTCGCTGAGCGTCGCACGCGCAAGGATAGGGTCTGGCAGCGCACAAAAGCTTTGGGCCAAACTTGGCCCATCTTGCCGCGGTTTTGCTAGCGCAGGCGTCTTTGCAACCCGAGCGAGCCTGGCCAGATGCTTCGTAAAGTAGTTTAGCCTGGTCAAAACCATGCATTGTTCAGTGGTTCAAGGGCAATGCCCCAACAACAAAGATGCTCTGTGAGGGCAGCTCGCGGCATCGTTTTGGGCTGGAATGGTTTTTTGGTTGTTGTTGTTTTCTTCTTTTTTCCATTTTTTTGTATGCGTGTTTGTTTGCTTGTTTGCGTGTTTGTTTGTTTGTTTGTTGTTTTGTTTCTTTCGTTTGTGGTTGGGGCTGGTCTTTGTGTGGTTTGGCTTGGCTTGGCTTGGCTTGGCTTGGCTTGGCTTGGCTTGGCTTGGCTTGGCTTGGCTTGGTTGCTTGCTTGTTTGTGTGTTTGTTTTCTTTGTTTGTTTGTTTGGCTTTTGGTTGGGACTAGTTTATTTGTTTTTCTTTATTTTTTCCGCATGTGTGTTTGTGTGATGGCTTGTTTGTTTGTTTGCTTGCTTGCTTGCTTGTAAGCTTTTTGTTTGCTTGCTTGCTTGTTTGTTTGTTTGTCTGTTTTGTGGTTGGGACTGGTTTGTGTGGTTTGGCTTGGTTTGTTTGCTTGCTTGATCCCCAGCATCACCCGCATCACCAAAACAAGCAGGCTGGCCACCTTGCCGCGCCGAAGTTTGCTGAGCCGTCCTTTTGGGGGGGGGAAGGATTCGCGGCGTCTGGACGATGTCCATCTTGCTGTGGAGGCAAACATCGTCCGTTTTTGTGGGAAAAACCACTGCGTTTCTCGTATTTTTGCGCATGGCAATGCGCAAAATGTGGAAGCCTGCGTATCAGTGAGGTTTTATGCTGATCCGGCCAAATTCGAGTCTTTGTGGCTACTAAACGTGGCGACAACGATCAGGGTTCCTGGTGGCGGGCTGCGCGTTAGAATCTGAATAGGCTAAACCCCAAACGGGGAAAATGTTGGATCGATCAAAATGCAACCAACGGCAAAAATGGGCCAAGATGGGACACATGGGAAAAATCACCCAAGAAGGGAAAACATGAAAAAAGACGAAATTCGAATCAAGACAAATGAAGTGAAGAGTGTAACCAAAAGTGCAATGGCGGCACAGAAAGCTTCACTCGCGCGACCCTCCTTTTATCTTGAGCCAAATGTACAAGTCATCCAAGGCGAACTGAATGTTTGTTATCAGTGTCAACCCTGGAAACCTGATTCAAAGGGAAGTTCAAGCAAACATGAATTCCGGGGGCAAGGTTGAATTAGACATGCATGCACCACCTACCATCAGGAAAATGTGGATTCCAGCAGGGGGCATTCTTCTCCCCCTTCTCACACTCGGAAAGTGTCCTACGCAGACTCCAGTTTAGTTATTTAACTATCTGGCCTACGCCTACGGGTCTCGGAGCGTTTCCGCTTCACGAGATGGCACTTTGCAAGTTGAGCTTAAGGATGCCATGTTAAGTAGGTCTAGTGCATGGTCCCACTTGCGCACCGGCAATGGTTTTGTAAACACATCTGCTCTCTGCTTGTCCGTTGCTATGTACAGGAGTCTGCAACTTGCATCTTCGAAGACCTCATAAGCTGAACCTAGTTCGATCTTCTCCGTCTTTGTGAGGTGTCGCAATTTGGGGCTATAACCTGCAGCCACGATCTGGATTACAGCTGAGTTGTCCTGAAAGCACTCTAGCGTGACCTGACGGTCCAAGATCAATTCCAGGAAGCCTTGTGCTGGCAGTGCTTCGCCGAAAAGGCCTGATCCTAGTGAGATCATCTCTGCTGCTGCTGTGCTCCTGGCAGTCGCGGTTTGGCGTTTACTGCCCCACGCGATTGGCCACAAGGTGTTGGGGCCCTCAATGGACAAGAACATGCCACTCGTGCTTTTTGTGTGTTCGATGCCACTACAGTGGTCCGCATCTGTGTACAAGCACAGCTTGAGCAGTTCTGGCGGGTCGCCTATATGTCCTTGTAAAGTGTACCCTTTTGACCCATACAGGTAGCACATTAGCCTATGGAGCCGTTTATCATCTGCTCGACTCCAAGTGGTAACCCTACGTGTCAAATCCCCTATCCCTTTCATTAGGTCGGGTCGGCTTAGCCTAGCGCACCAGAGGATTTTCATCAAGATTTTGCATGCAGAAGTTGCCAAAACTTCTTTACTTTCAAAGTCAGCGGTTGTAAGGCTACCTTCTGGGCAGAAAGGACTTTTAGCTGTGCTCAACTTACATTGAGCCAAGTCCTCATACACTGCACATGCGTTCTCGATGAAGTCGAACATTTCGAGCGAAACCTTGGTCGATCCATTGGTCCGATCGAATTTATGCTGTCTGCCCAGCACACGTTCAACTTGAGTTGGAGGTTCGATCTCCAAATGCTTTTCGATCTCCTGCCAAAACTTGTTTTGTTCTGACGACGGCCCTGAGCACAGAATGTCGTCGACGTAGCAAGTTACAAGAAGCTTCCTTTGTGGAAACCAAAATGAAGATGGAAATTCATCAACATGTTGACCTTCCAAAAGTTTCATCACTTCCCTTAGCCTTTGATCCCAATGGTATCCTGATTCGGGATGGCCATAAAGGCTCCTGACCAACCTCACACACGGCTGTTTGAAGTGCCGGTATTCAGGAGGAGTCAATTCCCAAGGCAAGATCACCCATGTGGGCACCTTTGTCCCAAGGTACGCTTGGGTGTAGGCTTTTACTACGTCTGATTGACGAGTTTCGTGACCCTTGATGGCGCCGTATGCTAGATTGATGTTGACACCGGTCATTCCGGTCGGAGTGACTTTTGCTTCTTGGAGCACCGCAAGATTGTTGTCTTCCGTGAGGATGTGATCCCCTCGGAAAACTATCCTGGCTTTGAGTTTACGGAGTTCTGGGGTTTCCCAATGCTTTCTCGACAAGATGATCATTAGGGAAGCAATGTTGATATGCTCCTTGTTCCTTTTACATCTTGCCAAAAGGTCCTCTTTTGAGATTACCTCATCGAAAGTCCAGGTTCCGTTGGCTACTAGCCCATTCACTTCATTGTCAATGGCGTCTTGCGCTCCAGGAAAGTTACCCCATTCTTTTCTCTCCAACAACTTGTGGATGCCAGCAAACACATGTTCTACTCCTGGCAGCTCCTGATGACCTGCCTCGTCCTCTGGGGCGTGGTCGCCACACAGGAACTCTTGCACGGAGTTTGGCCCAGCTGACACTTGCACAGGCATTGCAGGCGGTGCGTCAATCCAGGGATATAAGACTGAGAAATGCACCTTGCCATAGGCATCGGGTAAAAGGCACTTCTAGGTGTCTTACTGCCTGCAAGAGGTGAATGCTTATAGTCACGCGGATGTTGGCACTTGGCACTGTCTAGGTTTTTAGCCAACCTCCATGAAGAGGTTACAACTCTCCACGTCTTGAGGTGACATTTACCTTCTTGGTCACAGAGTCCAAATGCACAACCTTGAGGTTCCGCCACGAACAAGTCATGCCTCTTGACAAACCTGATCAGCTCTGGCAAGTCCCATCCGGCACATGTCTTCGGCCACTCGAAGGCAACGTGGCCCCGTTGACTGAGGACTTTGTCTGCACAACGAATGTAGTTTGCTAAAATTTTCCTAGAATGCTTGCGCATTTTTTGAGTTTCTTAGCAAACGGTTTTCCGTGTTGATGGAGGTTTACATTCTGCCATTGCGACCAGGGGCCGCAAGGAATCGATCCCCACAAATCAAACCCGGGAAATTGTTCTATGACCTTCAAAAGACTGTCATTTTCCCACTGGCTTGACATGTCAGAGTTCTTTGTTGTGAGTCGGAAATGGTTGATTCCTCTTTCTTCGTTGATCTGACCCAACGTTGAGTTCTCATCGCAACAAAACTCAAAGAGTGTCGGATTCGCCGATCGACCTTTGCGGTCTTCACGTGCAGGCTTGACCAAGTCCTTAGTGAGTTCAAGGATTTCTCTGGCCTTCCTAGTTCGTGCTTGGCTGTCACCGGCTTGCTCGATGAACCTTTGCATAGCTCTGAGATTACCGTCTGAAGGGTTGGCAAACCAACTTTTGGATGAAATCCTTTGATACGGAGTCTCTTGCCAGTTGTCCCTATGCACGGAAACCTTCCCCTTGCATCTCCACTCGGTGATGCATTCCGGTTCAACCTCGTTGGAGTCGAAAGGACAATCCTTACCCACTGGTGCAAATAGCCTTTTCCTAGGTCTTAAATGCACTAGTACCCATGCGTGCCTTGCTTCATCAAACTCCCAATAATCCTTGGTTTCGGAGTTGCCCTCAACCAAAGACTTTGCCCCCTTGACGTCTGATCTTGGCCCTTTGTTTTTAGAGTCTTGAAAAGAACAGTTGTGACAAGAGTCGACGGCGGTGGTACCAGGAGCATTGGTTGCTTCACTGGTCCTTTGGGTTAGCGCGATGACTGCTGCTGGAGTGGGCGGAACTGGTGTCGAAGGTGCTGGGCCAGATCCAGGAGTACAAGGTACCGGTGT